GCCTGACACCTTCCATTATAAGATTTTGTATTCAATTGCTTATAACTTCCACAAACTTTAACAGTTTGTGCTGGAATTTTACATGCTGAATATATTTCTCTTCCAAATTTTTTTTTGGAAAAATTTCAGCCAAAGTGGTTCAGCCATTTCATAGAACAAGGTTAGGGAAAAATACGTTGTTTTGCCCATATTAAAAAATTCTGGCAACTTTCTCTAAGAACTCTAGCATCCCTATGCTTGGGAGCAGGGACTTGAAATTTCACGGTCATTGCATCAGGGATGTGCCTGGTGCTGTCACCATGAAAATCCACCTATATTTGCCCAAGTTATAAGCCTTTGGGGAAAAAAATTGCAGTTCACATATGCTCAGTAGATATTACTTAGATTTTAGCTGCTTTAATCTCTGAAGAATCCATCCTCACTAAGCATGCTTGAACCTCTCTCAGCTCCTACCCTGACAAGACTGCATACACGATCCCCACAGAGTAACGGTGGACGCTCCCTCGAGACTGGGCAATCTTATTTCTGGGATGTCCTAACTTCTGAGTGCATGGTTTTGCAAGGTTAGTAATGTTTTTAATGTAGGTTTGTGTGTGTAATTGGAAATAAAACTAGAGTATGCAGCTCCAATTTCAATTGTTTCTTGGGGGTTAAGGCACAGTAAAAAAATGTGTGCTTTATACTAAAAAAAGCTAGAAAAGCCACACATTTGCTTTGCATGCGAGACACATCTGCATAATGAGTAGTTTTAGAAACATCTACTATTATACAGAAAATCACCATGTGAAGTAAGATGAAACAATGGTTTGCTTAACCCAGGTAATAGGAAAATTCATCCACGCTTACCTGAACATTTTTTTTCTTCGAGTAGTAAGGTCCACAGATCTGTGACAATGGGTACTTCAATCTGCTTTCAGTGTGGGGGCAGGAGAGGCACTAGCAGCCCGAGAATGCCTCAGCTCCAGAAGTTCCCTCCAGTTGAGAAAACTTCCACAGCCAGCATAATTCAAATCTACCTTCCTAATTTAGGGATTGTATTAAATATACTTTAGGTAAAAAAGCACAACAACAATTTCTCCTACTTTGGGGCAAGGTAAATTCTATCTAATATGACTACAAACCCAAATCCTTGGATATCAGTTTCTGTCTCTATTCTGGATGATCCATTTGTTCTTAGAATGGACTGGATCTCTGGATCCTATTACTTGAAAAGAGAAATTCTGAGAGAAGCACTAATAAATTTTCCAATTCCTCTTCATGCTAAGGTACACAGATCCATTACAATGGGATTTTCAGAGCACCGTAGCTTCAGGGAGGGAAGCAGGATCATTCTTTAACTATGGACATCCAAAATGAGGTAGATTATCCATAAATATCTTATCCATCTTCTCATGCACTAAGGCATGAAGAAGACTTTTGCCAAAAGAATGTAAATGGCATTGGTTAAGACTGGATAACCAATATGCAGAATTTGGTGAATTTATGTATTGATAGCCATGTGCTGTCTAGCAGATTTCAATACTGGAGAGATGACTACTCTGCCTGGAGATTGTCAGTTCTCATAAGACAATGACTTTGATGCTTAATTGAAGGAGGACTATTTCTTGAATTTGCATAGAGAATGAATGTGATGATTGTAGAAAGGACTACCTGCCAGAATTAAAAGTATAATATTGGCTTTCATTAGAGAAAGCTCAATTTCAAATACCCCTCCCTCCAACTAATCTGACTGGAGATAGGAACCATCAGGAGGCCTACATTAATGGATAGAAAGTAAAAGGAATCTTTCTGCAGGAGTTCAACTTGAGTACTGCTGCAAAATAAGTTTCCAAGGTTATGCTCTATGACCGTGTGGAGTAGGAATAAAATTGATGCCCTAAGGTAGCATCTGATGTTGGGATTTGTGCTAAATTTCCTTTTTCTTGTAAAGGCTGAGACTGTTATATCATAGAGTTTTGACCTTTTGTTTGGACCCTCAGATCACCATTGTAAAACCCTCCTGGAAGAACTCAAGGCGGTGTTTCATTGCTTTATCATAGTAGTTAAACTGGACTTTTCACCCGCCAGTAGAATAAGAGGGAGACTCAGATTGTCAGATGACCAATCATATTAGTTTGGGTTTTTTTGTTGGCCTGATGTTACTTGAGAGTTTTCATGCCTAGAGGAGGGGCTGAATGGATACATGCTTGGACGTGACTGCCTTGGAAGATCCTGTACAGGGAGTAGGCCACTCTTTCAAGTAAAAGTCTCCCCCAGTTAGAAACACCGAGTCCCTGATTACCAGGAAAAATAGTTGCATTTCTCTTTGGTACAGATACCAGGTGTGCAAACCAAGCAACTTTCCAGCCTTATATAATGGAGGCTGGTGAGAGAGTAGAGTAAAATGAAAGAAATGGTGAGTCAAGAAGCGGCTTACAGGCTACTAATTCTTTCACATCTGGACCTGCTGTCCCTCTGATCGCTCCACAGCCATCAGCTGGGAGGAAGAAGTGGAGGTGATGGTGACACATGGCAACCTATAACTCAAGTTGGGAACAACAGCCTGGCCCTTAGGGCACGTTGAACCACAGCAGCAGCTGGAGATGCAAGCCAGATACTTTCCCCATCTTCTGGGGGCAGTAGGAAACCCCTATCCCTCCATTACATTTTCCCAGGGTGCATGAGGAGGGATAGCTAGCTATAGCTTGTCTAAGACAACAGTAGACTTCCTAAATGTAAGTTGCACAATATTCAATACTCTCTTGCCTGAAAGAGGCTCAATTCTTTTTTTTTTGTATTTTAAATATATTTTACTATTTGATTCTCAAACTTTGATTTTGGCAGTTGATCCTCCTCTCCTTAGAAGGAAGAACTGCCTTTGTGGGATTGCATGTTTGCATGCCTAAAAGAATCGGCACATCTATAGCCTGTCTTTTCTACACTGATCGACCATGCTGCACTCTGAGGTGAGCAGGAGAACCCAGCACTGATTTTATTACTCATTTAATTTCTCCCTTTGGGAGTTTGTCCCCATAATCCTGCTTCAGAGGGAGGATGAAGTTGGCCGCAGGGGAGAGGGAGCTGAACCAAAAGGCCCCTTACTGCATTCTCAAATGTTGGCAGCATCTGGGTGGTATTTAGTGTCTCCATCCCCAATCCAAGGGGACTCAGGGTGGGGAAGGGAAAGGAAAGTGTGTGTGTGGATGGGGGCCAACCAAGCTCTGCAGTCAGAGGTGTGGATGTTGGTGGGGGCTATTGGGACTCAAGTGCATTGCCATTCTGGCTTCACTCCCCGCATAGAGACGGGAGCTGCTTGCCCCAATGCCAGCTTTTTTCCAGTCTGCTTGAATCCTTTCCCCCCCAGAGAAGAGAGAGTCCCAGGTGACCCCACCCAGCCTGGGCTGTGAAGGGAACTACACTCTTGCTCCCTAGCAAGACACTTAATGGCAGGGGGAGAGCAGGGAGATACAGACTCTTCCTTCTGCCTCTGGCTTTTCTTGGTGTAGTGCTCTCCCTGAAGCTTGCAGGGGGAGCAGCTGCTGCAGACACCTCAGAAGGGGAAGTGAAGCTGATGGGTCAATCTCTGCACAAATCAAAAGCAGCCCTGGGACATATCTGGGAATTAAACGAATTATTCAGCTGATCTTATAAACACTTGAAATAACATTTGGAAATTCCCTCAGAAAAGCTCTGTGGTAAGGAAGTCGGGCTGAGCTGCTGGCCTCTGTGGAGGCAGAAAAAACTGCAGGGAACCGTCCCCAAGCTGCAAGCAGGCAGAAGTACCCATTGTACTGAATCTGTGGACCTCAGCACAAAAAAAAGAAGATGGGGGGGAAAATGCTGTAGTGTCTATGCGGTTCATTCACAATATGTTCCTTTTCTTTTTTAACAGGCATGCAGCAGCAGTAAATTCAAATAACAGAAGATATAAAAGTATGAGTCAGGTTAGCAGATGGCGGATTGTGTCCCAGCTCCTGGAATGGAAAACACTCATCAAAAAATACACGGGTGGTGCTACAGTAACCAATCACTCAATCAATGATTCAAATGCCACAGCTGGAGACATACAATCCAGAGCTTGGCTTCAAGCCCTGTGGTTGGTACAGCTGCACATATGGGGATGGCAAGTGAATGAGATAGACAAGTACCATATTTCACATAGCAAACAGGAAAAAAAAAAAAGATAATAGTGGCAAATGATTTAGCAGTGATCAAGATATTGAACTCCGAGGACCTTTTCTTAACACAGATTTAATAAGGAAAATGTGAAAATTGAACACAATCCAGCCTTGTCAAGCTGCTACAAAGAGTATCTGCAGAGTAATTGGAAGAAACTGTTAAGAACTCCCAAGTCCCACCAAAATATATCCCAAACCCCCCACATACCAGAGTAAGAAATTTAAATCTCTAGGGCTGTTTTCTTCACTACAACACGCAAGAAGTAAAGTGGTTAGGAGGATTATGCTAATGTCAGCTTTCAGTTCTAAACAGCTCTATGGCAGATAAATAGTTTTGTGGATGTAGGGAGGTAATCAGAGTTATAGGTGCATACATCAAGGGAAAGAATATATTTCTTAGTTTTGTTTTTTTGTTAGAAAGAACTCTCTTTAGAGGGCTTGCGGAGTGATGGGAAGAGGAAATGTTGTAATGCTCTGCGCAAACTTTAAAAGGACATAAAAAAGCTTATTCACAATATTAAAAAATCTTGATGAGAGATTAAAAATAAAAGAGAATAATTAAAGAAGTGGCTGACCCAAGACATCCTAATTCAAGTGATTAGGCATGAGAATGGACTACTTCAGAGGGGCAAGCAATTGAAATTAATATTCAAGAAAAGATTAAGTAAAATAAGAACACAGGAAAGTGTTTGGTATGATGCAACAGACGGTCTGCTAACACAAGATATCTTATTTGGCTTCATCTATTCTGTAATTTTAAAGAGTGGTTAAAACTGATGTAAACAATTTATGCAATCCTTCAACAACAATAAAACAAGAACAAAAAATAAGAAGTCTGCTTACTCTTCTTGACGCAAGTCATTAATGCTCCGATCTAGCGAGATCATATCACTTGCCACCATATTAAACCCAAACTCTTTAATGCTGGCTTGAATGGATTCTTTGTAGTCTGGTCCTAATACATATGGCTTGCCTTCCTCACCAGGGCCACCAGCAACTCCATGAGGCTCAGGTTCTTTGGGCTCAAAATTACCAAGGATTGCAGGTCGTAAAACAGGATCATGGTATGTAAATGTCTGAGGCTTAAATGTGAGATATTGCCTCTGCATGATGTTCTGCTGATTGTTATCACCAACATGATGTTCTAGTTCATTTTTGGCCTTATTTTTTCTTCGAATAGATTCTAAGTCCACTTCCATGCCTTCAACATGAGGCCAGGGTACAACAGGTTTGAATTTCTCATTTCCTGGAGCTAGTCCATGGTTTCCTTTGTCTGGCACGGGATTCTTAGCTTCTTTGTCCTCCTATATGTATATTAAAAAAAACAAAAACACACACACAGCAGGAAACCATTACAAACTATGATAAATATAGAACTCAGTTTTTTAATCCTAAACCTTATATGCTGATACTCAGTACTAAAGTAGTAATTAAACAGTAATAGCAAGCAAGTATTGTTTACAGATTGGACTCTAGGTTCTACTGTCAACCGCCACATGCTTGGAGAGAGAGTCACTGGGGACTTCTAACAGGACTAGCACTCCTAATTCTCTTAGGAACTTCCACAAATCCCACTTACTCTCTCTGGCTGAATTTCTCCCATTTATAAAATGGTTTGGTAAAGAACACGGAGTTATTTAATAATGCCTTAAAATTCTATAGCACCTTTTAAAAGGGTCTCAATGTTTACACTAGATATGAAGAGCAGGATTTTCAAGAGCGTTCAGCATTGACCTAACTCAATGAATTCAATGTTAGTACAATTAGGGTAATGTTGAGTGCATCTGAAAATCCCACAAAGGCCATCAATTTAGGACCTATTGTTAAGATTTCTTCAAATTGTGAAGAAAACAGGAATAACAGTAAAGTTTAATTTTTCCTAGAACACTGATGAAAGCATTTAAACCAAGGTGACATCTGGCAAACAAAGTAGAAATTTTGATCAAGAGTCTGTTGCACCAGGGTATTTTAACGCTTGTAGAAATTATGAATGAACCAAATTGCTAAAAAAAAAATAGCTATTACACTTCTACATCCACACTTTCATCTATAACTGTTACTTTTTAGGAAATCTTGCAAGGCCAAGACAACAGGGAAGTAGCTCAGCATGTGTTGGGGCACATTTTGCAAGGAGGCAATAAGCTGCCATGGAAGAAGAAAAAGCAAAACACAAAACACACTGGAGGAGACTGGTGAAAAGAATAAGAGCTACCATAAATATGTGCTTCAATTATCTTTCATTTTCTGATATAGCTGTAAAACTAATCTGAAAAGTTTTCAAAATAAATCACTTCAAAAATGTATAGTGTGTACCTCCTAAAAATGAAACCTACATCTATCTCTGAGTTGTGAAGAATATTTATTAAGGTTATAACAACCAACAAAAAATGCACTTTTATGTAGAAATCCATGATTAAATTGAGTCTTCCTGACTAGTGATTTAAATCAAATCCACCCTGATTACAACTAGTTTGAATTTTCCTAAATCTATACAGTGTAGTTTTGTTAAATTGTAAAATTAATTTAGTGATACACATATTGCTAAAATGAACCTCCAGGTGTCCGTGGAGTATGGGTGACTGAATGGGATACAAGTATGGCACAGTACCAATGGAAAAAACACGAGACAGAGTGTGTACGAGTGGACAATTTGGGGTTATTTAAAAAGGAATTGTTTTACAGAGATATTCACAAGCAAGTACACAGATTTTAGGTGGAATGCATCAGGTATCTGATGTACAATTCTACATAAGAAAATGCAAAGGTACATTGTGTGAAATTATACCACAACAATATAGTGCAATATTGTTACATTGTAAACTAAAAGGTCAACTAGTAGTTTGTATAGCATTTGTACAGTTGGCTATACAAATATTTTGGCCATAATACAATAAAATACTGAAGTATGTGCTTAACATATATGCTTAAGTCACATTGACTTTGAGACTTAAGCACATGCTTACATGTTTTCATGAATCAGGGCCTTAATGCAGAGTTCTATTTGGTTAGTAGATAGGTGTTATTTATTGTACATTCTGAATAAGTAAGAAAAAGCTACCTTTCTAGATATAGTACAGAGTAAATTCAGGTCAAAGTGGTAGTGGTGTGTTTATTGTGTTTTAGAATGAGTTCACAGGCTGAAGCACAGCAATCTTCAAATCAGTTCTGGTTTATCATCAGAGCTCTTTCATATCTTGTATTTCATTTAGTCGTATTGTAATAATTGGTGGGTTCTTTTGTGAGAAAGTGTTGTAATGCATTTCCTTGATGCATTTTCTAATATTCTAAATATTTTTTGTACCTTTGGGGAGTACTATCTAGAATATAAATAGGCATGATTTAAATCCAAGTTTATGTTTAAAGTTTTCTCTAAGGATTTATGTATGCATGACAAAAATATATACAATGTAAGTAGACTCAGAAGAGGTATGGAGCGAGTGCGATTTAAGAGAGACTGGCTGTAAAGTAGCAAGCACTCTACTGGAATTATTTATGGTTGTTCATATAAAAAGAGGGAATGTTATCTAATGTGCATGCCACAGTCCAACCCAAATCAAGCAGTTATAGACCTGCCTTGATGCAACAGTTATGTAAGATTCCAAAACAGCAAAACACATGTTAACTGAGTGACTACTTTTGGTTGTCACCTCAATAATACCACCTTAGTTAGGAATCTTCAGAGTTCAATTAATCTGATCAACGAATCTGGCTTGCCTCAACCAAAGAGAAATGTACTGTCAAAGTCACTTGAACCTTTTTTAAAATGTTCATACCAAACTTGGAAGGCACAGCTGTGAGAAAGCATCTCTCTATTTTTGAGTTATGAGTCTCTCTTCTCTTCCACTTCAAAGGAGAGAAAATTGGAGGGAAAAGCCTGAGAAGAAAGGGAGGAGAGGCTACATTGTTAGCTCCCCTTCTGCAGCACCCTCTCTTCCTATTCCACAGAACTGAAAAGAGGGCAGGTAAAAATCAGAACAGTCTCTGTGAATGGTAAAAACAATTGTTAGTGCTGCATTAGAACTCCATATCTGACAGCCACTCAGATGAAGAGTAGCACAGAGTTGTGGTCAAAGGAAAGCACAGCCAAAATGTGAAGTCACAGAACTCAGCTCTTCAAATGCATGCCCCAAGAGGTGTAGGGTTGGGGGCGTGGATTCCCTGCTAATCCTCTGGCTCCACGTGAATGCAAGCCCCTCACTTCTCTGTTGTTGTTTTCCTGATCCCCTTAAAGGGAATATGAATCAAGATTTCAGCTAGTTGAAACTGAGAAGTTTTTTGTTTGTTTTTTTTACTTAGTTTTTCTCCTTCACATTTTTTTCCCACAAAAGGGGACTGTTTGGCTCAAAATTAGCAAAAACGACAGCCCAATGTCTTAACTGTAAATGAGACCTGAGATGCAACACAGAGCTGCTGGTGTTCAACAGTAAACTGTGCGATCTACAAGTGGCTTTACTCACTACTAGAAGACTCTTTTACAAGCACTTTTATAAATCATCCATGGTAAAAAAAAACATGGCATGACTTTCATAAGGCTGAAAATTTAGCCAATTGGCTAAATGTGGCTTTATGTGATGGCTGCAAATAAAGATATCAAAAATAGAAATCCTAACTAAGAAACAGAGTATGTAAGTCAGTCTGAGAATACAGACTACCTAGAGACTTCTGAAATAATGTCCGAAGTATTAATTTAATCTTAAACAAAACCAGAATCCTTTTATTTAAAAGAGAGGAAAGGTTTATGATATTTAAAAGAAACCAAGGTTAATTGTTTATTTGTACCTTCACTAAGGCCGTAGAGGATGACTCCCGTGGCTGGACTAATTCCCCACAAGAGCTATTCCCAAAGGTAGTGAGGCGGTGTGGTTCCCTGCCGCCCCGGAGAGAGACAAGCCCCGGCTAGCTTCTCTACACAAGTATACAACCTCACAATGTATAAAAACAGATTCAGCTTTAACACACTGGAATTTATCTCAAATTGGTTAAGAGAAAATTACTAAGAGGAATATCTAGCAGCTATTCAGTTATTGGGGTTTTTGTGGTGAAAACTTTGGAGGCACCTCTACTTTTTGTAGCTTAGTACCTGTGGAACCTATTTCTGATTTAGAGAGTTGTGAGCAAGAGTTTAACAAAAATAGGGTTACCATATTTTAGTTTTAAAAAAGGAGGACACTCCACGGGGCCGCACCCCAACTCTGCCCCAGCCCTGCCCCAACTCTGCCTCCTTCCCCGAACGCTCCGCCCCCTGCTCCTCCCCCTCCCCTGCTTCCCGCAAATCAAATGTTCGCGGGAAGCCTGAAACAGGGAGGCAGCAGGTAAGCTGGGGCTGGGTGCGGCACGGCCCAGTCCGGCCCCCCTGGCCGAGCGGCTCTCTCCAGCGGCCGGCCTGCCCAGGCCAAGAGGCTCTGGCTCCGGCGTCTCCCGCCCGGCTCGGCTCGGGCCCTGGGGCGCCGGCCCGCGGCAGAGCACCGCCGGCCTGGCCCCCAGCCCCAGCACCGCCGGTCCTGGCCCGGCTCTGGCCCCGCACCGCCGGGCCCTCCCTCCCTATTTTCCTGGACATGTCCGGCTTTTTGGGATTTCCTCCCGGACGGGGATTTGAGGCCCAAAAAGCCGGACATGTCCGGGAAAATCTGGACGAATGGTAACCCTAAACAAAAAGTACTCTCTTTGTCAGCCCCTAATCCCTTAATTCTTGGCTCTGGCTTCGCCAGCCCATAGTGCGAAAGAACAATACACATGCTGCTTGATCTCAGTCTGTATATAGAATAGGACACATGGAAAGGTTTTACAGTATAACTAAGCATGCGCCAAGCAAACAGTAGGTCTCAAAGACCTATACACAATTCTACTACAAATTACAGTATTTAAAAACAAAAACACCCCCCCCCTGCTTGTTTATTACTTTAGTTTATTAGTTTTTGGGGTTCTAAAAATGTGTGTCCGTAGAGATCACCTCAGGATATCATCAGCTTGCTGAGTCAAGACACTTCACTACACACTTCAGCATGCATTTAACACATTAAAAGTTTTATTTTCCTACACTTGCCTATGCCACATACAGTCCAGATCTTAGCTCATGCAAAAAACAATAGTAACAGATTAACTTGAAGCTGGGTGGGAGGTGTCAGGGTGTAGCATTTTGACAAATCTGGGGAAATGGTCAGAGATTTACTCTGTTTCTAGTACAGATGACTGGATAAAATAAATTAACGTACTTAAATTATATATGCTAGCCTGTGGCTGTACGTACAAGGGACACTTTGTTTTAAACTTAATTTCTTAACCATGTTCCCGTTAGGATCTTGTT